CCGCGGCTGGAGGTGTGCGTCTGGCATGGAGATCAACGGGAGCGTCTTCAGAGACCCCTGCCCAGCACGGCAGAGCTGGTCCTGGCGCGCCCACACCAGGCGCCGACGCTGCTCGATGGCAATGTTTTCTTGTCTCTGTTTTAGCTGTATGAGATATTCAGCTGCTTGGCAGAGCTGGGTGCCATAGCTCAAGTTCATGCTGAAAACGGGGATATAATTGCACAGGTAAGTAACTATGCTTCTGGGTGTACAGGGACTGAAAATCTGTCCCAGGCAGGTTTGGTGTGGGGTGTTGACAAAATGGCTCTAAAGCTGCGTGGATGTCTTCTGAAAGATTATCTGTTTGCTGCTCAGCAGCAATATGAAATTTGCGAAGATATTCTGCTGTGAATATATGGTGCATAAGCAAGTCTGAAATAGTGAATTAGCAATTATCTAAATGGAAGAGAGTGGGCCATCAAGTACGCAGCCTTGCTTGTAATCAGCAGAGAGAGTTAAAGTGTATTGAAAACTGCCGCAGCAAGAGAGGAATGTTCTCCCCGCTGTAAGCAAGCAGCTGGCTAATGGAGCTGGATTTGCGAAGGAAATGTTGTGAGAGATGTGGTTTGGACTTCAAGTGGGTAGGCTGTATTGGCCCACTGAGTTGTAATTGCTGCTGGAGGAGAGAAAGTCCAAATGTTTTGATTTTCATTAAGACAAGGAAGAGGTTGCTCAGTTATGCTTTGCAACTACTTAGTTTTTTCCTATCTCTCTTATTCTTGGGAGTTGAAGGAGTGTGAGCTAACAGGTCATTCTGCAAGCATCCTGCCAGACTACAAGAGTCAGTTTTTCTTTGGACATTTTAGAGCTGCAGTGCACAACTGGATAGCTCTTTCACGTGAAAACGGAGACTGATCAAAGGAAATGTCTTGGCTAAAGTTTATCTCTCCTTCAGCACCAGCCTAACCACAAAATGCCCCAAAACTGTTGCTTGGCAGCACTTCACAGCCCTGGGAATTGCTTCCTTCTGTCAGGACTGATTGAAACATCAGAGGCTGGTGTGCGGCCCATGTCGTTAGCACGGATATGTGGTGCTTGGAGTCATCTGCTGGTGGGGGTTCCCAGGAAGCAGGCAGAGGATTTGTCCTCTCCATTCGCCATCTCAGTCCATTTTCATTTCAGTGGTCCTGGCGACTCCGTGTTTCTTCAGAGCTGGGTCAACATAGGAGGGGATGTTGCAGGGGATAAGATGTGATGCATGGCCTGAACAGCAATAGGATGTGAACAGAGCTCCAGATGTCAGAGTCTGATGTGCTGTAGGTGTTGGGAGGGTGCCTTGTAGTGGGTGAAGAGCAAGACACGAGAAGAGTATTGTCGAGTCTTTGCTTGGTGCTTTCACTGTGGCAGAGGTGTTGGAGGAGGTAACACGCAGCACTTACCTGCTGTGCAGCCTCATCCTTTGATGCACTCCTCCAACAGCTGTGAACACATCTGTTACCGCTGCTAGAGTTACACAGTCCTGGCACAGATTGGTGGCATTATTTAATGCCCATAATATGCTCAGTACTCTGCAAGCCACAAGGAAAAGCGCATAAAACTGCTTGCTTACGGGCTTGCTGTTACTGCTGCCGTGCATCCGCTTCACGCCCCATGACACCTCTGGAGAAGTGTTGCTTGTTGTGCAACTGCGCGTGGTTTCTGCAAGTCAAGGGCAGGTGTTGGGTGGAGCAAACACGTGCATTGCCACAGGCAGTGACAACACGTGGATGAAGGTGTGGGGTCAGAAGAATCCCTGGCTGCCTTGGTCAGGGCAGACCACAAAGTCCCCCTGCATGTTTCCTTTGACCTCTGTCGAAGGGAGATGTTTGAAACGAGGGAATACAACAGAAATCTCCAGGGTACAGACGGGGGATAGGCAGCTCAGCACATGCGGAGTGCACATGCACACAATTACCCACGTTCCTTACTTATAACAGCAAAGTGTATGGGATAACATTAATACGGGAACCAGCACCCCACACCACCAGCTTCTGTAGAAGTTGATACAGGACAGGCTTTAGCACTTGCCGATGTCCAAATGATTAAATAACAGCACTGGGGACTCAGGAGTAACCTTAGAAGGAGATTTTTTTAATTGTCTTTAATGATTGTGTTCTCAATAGTTTCTGCGCAGACTACTTGCTTTTCAAAAGCGGAGCCAGGGAGAGCCTTGGAAAGGGTCTGTAAACACTAAGTGCCGTTTGTGGAGCTGAGGAGCTCTGTATCCTTTCTCCTCCCCATTATGCTTGTTCCGTTGAAGAGATTTCAGTCGGTGTCCGTGCTCCCTGCAAGCACTCCGATTGCCACATCCTCTCTCTTTCTCTCTCAAACACCTCAAGGGTGCAGCAGCCTCTCGCTGTGCACGGTGGTCCCACAGGGCACGGGGTGGTGTCAGTCCCGAGATAAGGGCTTGACACAGGAGGAATCAGGGATCTGCTTTTCTGCACGGTTCATAGTTTCACGGTCTTGTAACGTCCCTCTGTCCTTTTGATGTCTTAGGAGCAAACCAGGATGTTGGAGATGGGAATAACTGGCCCTGAGGGCCACGTGCTGAGCAGACCTGAGGAGGTAAGATGCAAAGGACGGTACCAGCCTTGCTGCACTGAACAGCTTTACCCACAGACACTGTAGGACTTTGTGTGTGTAGTGGGGCCAAGCAAGCATCGTGTGTGTGTGCATTGGCATCTACGGGTATCCATTTATACAGGCAATACTGTCTTGTTCATCATCAGCTCAGGAAAGAGCGAGGTGCACGTTTGTGACAAATGTTTTTCAGTCTGGCTGGAGTCTCCTAGCAGAGACAAGGGCTTCTGAGTCTCCCAGATACTGATCAACCAACAAGAAGGTCTGTATGGCTGTAGCAGCATTTGGGGCTTGTTTGGGGATGTTTCTCTTGTGTAGGTGACTCCGTGGGTGTAAGAGGCCGACAAGAATCGAATGGTGAGTTGTAGTTCCTCTGAAAATTCACTGTTCACTTCTGTCTGAGTGCAGACAGATTCCAGCCTCCTGCCTAATCTCTGCTTAGGGTCTAAAATGTGTTTCAAAATCAGACAGACAAAGCCATTGGTGGAAGGAGTGGGAGGGAAGGAGAGGGGGAATTTCCTGGTTACAAATCATTGTCAAGACACTAATTTGATTAATTCTAATTTTAGCTCACAGGGTATTTTTCTGTTTGGTCTGTTAATCTGAGTTGAGTCTAATTTTAGACAGGTTTTCTTGAGACAGCTCCCTGCTGAGAGGTGCTTTTAACTTTCCACAGCACGTGAAAGAAGAAAACAATAGGAATTTGGTACAACAGCACAGCTGAGCAGGGGAGCACAGGGACAGATTTGTACTTCAGCGTCTGCTGGAAATAAAATCAGTTGGCTTAAATTGAAAGTGTAAGAAGTTGACTGTATTATGGCTGGTAACAGCATGTATTGCCTAGTGTAATACAATGCTTATTCTCTTTGAAGTATGAGACTGTAAAGCATTTTTCTATACAGGAAAGAGACTCACTGTCAAATACAGTACATCAGAGTCCCTCTGTGTATAAGCTGCCATTTATTTTCACAGCTCTAGACCCGTTGCCACCAGTTGGCAAGCTAACCCGCAATTACGGGGTGCTGTGGTTGTGCCAGGATTTGAGAACTGTCCTGTTACCATAAGACAGCACTGCGGTTCTTCTCATCCAAAGCTGGTGAAACATTGTTGAATGGGGGAAAATGTTAGGTAGAGCACAAATGACCCTGCTACCCCCCATAAAGCCTGCAGGTTGATGGCAAAGCGTTGGGAGCGTGGTCCATAGCTCCGTGGGTCTGCTCTGTCCCAGAGTGACCTCAGTGGGGGTTGAAGATGTGCTCTTTTGTCAGGTGATGGTGGTGATCTGGTAGGGCAGGATGGTGCTGCTCCAGATTGTAACCTGCTGTGAAGGGTATTCAGTGATGGCTCTGTTTGCTGCTGACCGCGTTAAACCCTGTCAACTATTCAAGTCCATAAGTGCACTGATAAAAATGATTTCAGGTTTAAATTTCTGCTTAAAGAGTCTTTAAGCAGAAGAGAAAAGCCTCTTTTCACTGTGCAGCAAACAGGCCTGCAGAAGTACGAGAGGAGTAGGGGTATGTATGTGTCTGGGTGCAGCAGTCTGCTTCTGCTGCTGGGAGAGCTCAGCTGGCGTGGGCAGTTGCCCGGCCCACGTGCAGTTACTGTGCTGGCTGCTGCAGGCAGTCCTGGCCTCCCCGGGGAGCCAGCCAATTGGTACGTTGTCTTTTTAAGGCTTCTGTTTTGAACTTTCTCATGCCAAAGCTTGAAGCCAAACTGTAGAGCAAACACTTGGAGAACCTCTGGGGCTGAGCTCAGGCTGGGCACGGGCTGATGTAATAGTACAAAGATATCCCTCGTGATGGAAATCCGCCCTCTGCCAACAGCAGGACAGTGAGACACGGGGCGGGTGTCAGCGGGACAGGCAGACCCTGGTGTGAACAGCCTGCCAGTGCCACTCACTGCACCCAGCCACAGGCAGAGTGACGTCTGGCTCAATGGAATGTGGCCGTGGCAGAGCCGGAGCAGCGCGTGGTCCGAAGGGCAGACCCATCGCTGTCTGGCATCTGCCCGTGAGCCTTACTGCTGGGCACGGGCAGCAGTCCCTGGGCTTCTCTGGCTGTCGGGAAAGCTGGAACCAGGCAGTGGAAAAACCAGCAGATGCAGCTCTGTGCCGGCCCCCGAGCATGGTCCAGGTAGCGCTCGCCTGCCGAGCATCGTGCGGCTGTGGCCTATGAGCTGGGCCGGGCCCGAGGGAGACTGAAGCTTCCCCCTCGGGTCTCCCTGGTTAACCTGCCCCTGGGGAGTCAAGGGTAAGAGCGAGGGCACAGAGCGTCAGCAGCAGTCTGTGGTGTGCCAGGAGGAGCAGGGCTGTTCCCTGCCAGCCCAGTGCTCCTCCGCAGCCGTGCACCATTATCTCTTCCAGCTGGAAGCAGAAGCTGTCTTCCGGGCCATCACTATTGCCAGCCAGACCAACTGTCCTCTCTACGTGACTAAAGTGATGAGCAAAAGTGCTGCTGACCTCATCTCGCAAGCCAGAAAAAAAGGTGAGTGGCAGCTGCTGCTGCACACAGCCTTGCTGTTGCTGCTGGGGTCCTGGAGAGCTGAATTCAGTGGTCCTCGTGGCTGTTTGCCAAGACCACCACTGTGCCTCGAGAGCAGTCCAGTGCTTCCCCTTCTGCTGGGGAGCCGTTAGTTCAGGGATTTACCTGGCTTGTGAAGGGCACGGGGACACTGCACCAGGCTGCAGGGAGCCCCCTCCTGTTGTCACATCAGGTGACGTTGACACGTGGGTCGCAGGTATGAGCAGTGCTATAAACACCAGTTTGTCTGCGCCGGTGAAGGGCCCTCTTTGAGGAGACTTGTCTGATCTACGTGCAGGTGGTCGGAGCTGCTGCATATAGCCCTGTCCTCCTGTCGGAGTGCTGGGTCAGGGGTGCCTTTTCGGGTGGTGGTGGGGCTCCATTTGTCACCGGTGGTGGTCCACAGGGACTCCCCAAACACATGTGGGCACATCCACAGCTGTGTTCAGTGAGCTGTGTGCCTCTGCCCCAAGAGCCAGTCAGCGAGGAGACCGGTGGGCAGCTCTTCCCTGCCAGACCCCGGGTGCTGCTGCATGCCCTTGTCCATTGCTCCTGCCGCTGGCAGGACAGACGTGTTTGTGTGCACAGGTAATTCTCTACCATTTGAAAGACGGCGTTCACTGCCCAGCCCAGGTTTCCATCTGGAAACAGCCCTGCTTGCCACAGCCACCTTGCAGGGGAGCCGTGCTCTGTCTGGGGAGAGCGAGGCACCTTTACAGGCAAGGCTGTGGGACAGCGCTGGTCCGTGGACTGGGCTGGGTGACCGGTGGGTGCCTGTGGCTAGCTGAGCTGCACCGACTCCACCTTGGGCATGGGGACGTTCTGCCAGCCTGGGCTGCGTTGGGTCCGGGGTAAATATTTACGAGGGAGGGATCAGGGAGGAGGGATGCACAGGAGGTGACGATGGAGGACATTGTGAGAGGCTTGGTCGTCAGCCCGGCGTGGGTTCAGTATCAGCTGCATTGTGGTCTGCCTGCCCCGTTGCAGGCTGTCATTTCTTACCAAACTGCCTGGCCCCGGCCGGAGGTGCCGGTGCTGCCGGTCAGCTCTGAGACGTGGCTGTCGATCCTGGGCTGAAAGTCAGCGGCGTGAGATGCTGCAGTGCGGGGGCACCAGTGCTGGCAGGAGGGGCCGGAGGGAGCACGCCCCTCGCTTTCTGGGAGCGTGGCCAGGGCAGGGCAGGCTGGGAAGCAGCCTTCTGCCAGCACAGGAGGCCAGGCTGCAGGCATCGTTTGTGTCTCTGTGGTGTCTTCTGGGGAGCACAGCTCTGCGGCCATGCCTTCCCATGCCGTGCTCCAGCCAGGCTTGCTGTGCCAGTAGGATCTGTGCCCTTGAGCAGGAGAGCCCTGCAGTGATGGCGGGCAGAGCTCGCCCCTGACGCCAATGTGGGGCTTGCTGTTCCTTCTGCCTGCCCTAGCACCTGAGGTCCAAGCAGGCAGTGTGGGACAGCCCGATGCGAGTCTGGGCGTCCTCTGGGTATGGCAGGCTGTTGGTAGTGCTGTGGAACAGTGAATGTCTCCAGGCTCCACCAAAACAGCATCCTTTCTGTCCCCCTTTCCAGGCAATGTGGTGTTTGGTGAGCCGATCACGGCCAGTCTCGGGACCGACGGAACGCACTACTGGAGCAAGAACTGGGCCAAGGCTGCGGCATTTGTGGTCTCTCCACCCCTGAGCCCAGACCCAACAACTCCTGACTACATCAACTCCCTCCTGGCCAGGTGAGTGGCAGCTCTGCTGGGCAATGCTGCTAGTGGGAAGAAGTGGACTCTGATAGGGAAGGAAGAGGTCAGGGAGTACCCAGGCAGTGTGGAGATTAGTCCAACCTGAACCACTTCCCTGCAGGTATTTAATGATCTAGCTGATGAAATGGCTCTGACTCAGAGCTGTGGTGGCTTATCCCAGAGAGCGGAGGGAGGACAGGGGAGGCACCATAAGCTGGACATCAGTAATGAGAAAAATATGGGGGCAAGTAGTCATGAACCATTTTAAATGCCCTGAAGAAGGCAAAGAAATGAGGACCAGCTAACACAGACTTGTCAGCGAAAGCATTCGCCAAGCTGGAGAAGCCCTTCTGCACCTGTGGGGTGGGGAATGGCTGCCTGGGTTGCGATGGTGCAGGAGAAGGTGAAGGGGTTACAGGTGTCACAAGCTGGTGGGGGCCCACCGGTCAAATGCAAAGCAGATGTTTTCTCACGCTGTGCGGGTGGGCAGTGTACAGCCTGCAGAGTGCATGAGGCCTTTAAGGGCAGCTCGGAGTGTCTGACAGGGATGGTAGGTGGTTTTTTTTGCCCTGGAGGCATGGGGGTGGGGAAGGGATCTGTTGAAGATAGAGAGCAAACAATAAAAGCACTTCAGTCATTTGCTTTGACCTTTCGCAGTCATGCTCCATCCTCTCACTGGCAAGGCACGCACAGCAGCCAGGGACACAGAGCTGGTTGCTGGCCCTGTCCACGTGCCGCATGTGAATCGCACGCCCCTCTCGCCCTGTGTTTGCGCGCTGAGCTGTGCGCGTGGCGGCTGGTCTATGTTAGCCCGGAGCCGACTGACACCACGGGGGTGGTAAATGGAAATGACCTTTGAGGTAATGCTGGAAACATCTGTGACTGGATGAGCAAGGGGTGGCTGGTCAGTAAGAGGTCTCAGCAGGGGGGCACGTTAGGATAAACCTGGGTGGTGCCCTGGTGGAGATGCTGTGGCTGGCTTAAGAGAGGTACCAGCGCATTTGGGGTCTGAATATGCAGCTCACCCTGGATTTTGCTGTGGTCAAGGAGCAAGAGGTGCCTCTGCTCAGTCTGGGTGTGTGAAGTAGGTGCAGGTCTTAGGGACTGGCAGGGAAAAGTGAGCCCAGCTTCTGAACTGGCTTTCTAATCCTTCCCTTCCACTTCAGATTTACCCCAGACCTCAGAGAAGAGGCAAGAGCATTTCTGAGTCAAGCATCTGTCCTGACACCTTTCCCACACTGTTTTCTGTGAGGCTGCAGCAGGAGGAGAGGTTGTGAGGCTCCAGCTGGGTTGGATTGCTTGTTTTCTTCCACTGGGACTAATCTGGTGGAGATTAGGAAGCATGTTGTGTCATCAGCGTCGGTCTCTGGCTGTGCAGTCAGTCAGACATATGGCAGAAATTTTCAGAGGAAGATGGAGATTACCAGTGGATTAGAGCTGATTTGCAGCCTTGAGCAGAGCCGTTGGGTCCCCGCGATGCCGGGTTGCCAGGCGCTCGAGGCTGCTTGCCTCACACAGGCCATGCCAGGAGCTGGCCTGCCTTGGTCTGTGCCTTTGCCCAGCAGCGATGGCTTCCCGGCTGCTGTCTGTCCCCTGCTCCCGGAGCACCCTGCAGCAGCTGGGCCACTTCCCTGCCCGTCCCCAGCTCGCTGGCTCTGCCCCTAGGAAC